CCACTGTTATACTAAAGTGTGTTTCCATGTCAATGTCTACGAACATTCTAAAAAATAGCCAACATTCCTCACAACTGTTGATGGACATCTTCACTCATTATAACTATTAAAAAAGCCTAGGAATGTTCAAAAAGAAATTGCATTAGGTCTGCTTGTTTTTAATTTGTGTTGCATCAATAAATGTTCATTTTAACTTGCTAACCTGTGTTGTAATGTTTTTATAATACGTTTGTAAGTATTAATATACTTATAATACATTCTTAATGTTAGGAAAGTGGCTGTTTATTTTCAAATATGCCTCAGTAGAGGACGATTTCTTTGTTAATTCATTTCACTGTGGATTCTAGTCTTTTACAAATTTGTGTTGCATCAATAAATGTTCATTTTAACTTGCTAACCTGTGTTGTAATGTTTTTATAATACGTTTGTAAGTATTAATATACTTATAATACATTCTTAATGTTAGGAAAGTGGCTGTTTATTTTCAAATATGCCTCAGTAGAGGACGATTTCTTTGTTAATTCATTTCACTGTGGATTCTAGTCTTTTACAGACTTTTACAATATGACAGTTTTGCAGGAACATGTAATGTGTTAATTCGAACTTTTATTAGATAAGCTATCTTCACATGGAATTTGACTGGACTGCTATCTACAATATTTAATGACAATATTTTTTAAATCAGGTCAATTTTCAGTTTATACATGCACAAGGTATCATGATGAGAAATATTTTAAATCATATTAATCATGTTTCATTTCAATGGACACAAACACAGAAGTTTGTTAGCTCATATTGCATGAACTAATGAGAACATAACTTTTGTTAGCCATATTGTGCATTGCAAGTAAGTAATGTGCACCATCTTTGTACATCTTATATATGTATTTTATATAGTAAATCTAAATATAATGCCGTAATCAGCATTTTAACGATTTTTCGCGGCAGCTGTAATAGTAAAAATATAGCAAAAGTCTTCAAAACAGTTCCACATTAATACTTATTTAATATGCAAAGATGTCACCCAATCATAAGCTGTGGGTATTTACAAGTCTTAAAAGAGACCTGAACATTTAAACAGTTGAAATCAGATGACTAAAACAGGGTAGAAAATGTTGTTTTATTTCTAAATTATGACAGTAAACTACATGAACATTGTAGGTGCACCTCAGGAAAGATAAAATAGAAAAAATGCAGTTCATTACCCCTTTAAACATAGCTTGTAGTGTAATTAGCTAGTTTCTAAGCAACTGATTTTCAACCAGTTATTTAGATATAGACTTTCTCAACAACTTGCCCAAGTCTTCCCTATTTATCCAGTTCTTGAGATATTATGGCAATGACGCAATATTTGGAAAGTTGGTTTTGCAACAGAATGTTTTTACTAAATATTATCTCATTTAAATGCTCTGTGGATCACGGAACCTCAAATGGCTACCATGATAATAAAGCTCATTTATATACTAAAACATACTGAATCTCAGGCGATTACTGTATAAATATTGTATTCTGTGTTGCATGTAAGTGAAAGTTAAAAATATTCACATTAACCAAACATTGCCTAATTTTGTCTGTATTTTTGCCTGATATTCTTTGCATTTTTCCTGCTCAACAAACAGAACACCTGTGAATCTGCTTGTAGTGTCACTCCCGTTCTGCCGTGGTTGTGTTCCAGTCTATTTTTGAGCCATAATTTTGAAACCTTCTTCAATGTAAAAACAACTACAACAAAACAAAACCTAACTGTTAGTCATCTTAAGGTAACTACAAGTATTATGTGTTTAAATTTCAAAATAATATTGTATCTAACACTAGAGTTGTGTGGGATAGGAATACGTTAAGATGCTGTGACATCACAAACATGTTGCATTGTGGTATACTGTATGGAGCTGCCTGAAGTGAACATACGAGTCGACTCATTCCCTTGATCAAAATCGGTGGCTTGAGGATATTTTCATACAACCTTTCCTCATCCGCTTGATAAAGTGGAATGCACTTCTGAATGGAGGTGGGGATTGGTGTTTAGGTAAGTTTGCATGTAGCTATATTTCTCAAAGCAATGTGGAACACATCCCTTGTCTCTCGCTTTGAAAGTAAATTCGGACCTCACAGTTGCTGTATACGGTGTAAAAGGCAACCTGTATGAGGCAATCCCAATTTTCCAATTCATTTTTAGTGGGCTACCATTTGTGCTTCCATGCTTCCAGCTCCACTCTGTTTCACCTGCGTGTACACACGACTTGCCATCCCCTGTATTAAGCTTTTAAACTTTTTTTGCTGTCCTCGTGTAACATAGCAATCATGATAAATACAAGGACGATGATGCATGCTTTATTGAAGAAATTTACTGAAGAAAAGTACATTGAAGAAAAGTAAACAAATACAACATAAACAGAACAAAAGTTTGAGGAACTGCTTTAATTCTTTGCAGCATAGATCAACAAGATGCTGGAAACTTTCCTCAGAGACATGGAAGTAGCCATCACAAGATGACTGTGGTTATGAAGGACATGGTCAGCAGCAGTACTCAGGTATAGGCTGTGGTGTTTAAAAGATACTCAATTGGTACTAAGGGCTCCACCAGCAGCAGCCTGAACCGTTGATACAAGGCAGGATGGATCCATGCTTTTATGTTGTTTACACCAAATTCTGAGCCTACCATCCGAAAATTGCAGCAGAAATTGAGACTCGTCAGACCAGGCAACCGTTTTCCAGTGGCACCTGGTGTGGTATAATGCTGCTGTAGCACATCTGCATCAAGGTTTGATGTGTTGTGCGTTCAGAGATGCTCTTTTGCATACCTTGGTTGCAGTGGCGAGCGGTGACTTTTTTTAACCGGGTATGCTGAGTGATAAGACACGAGCATACGCAAAACAAAGGGAACAATATGATGTTTGTGATTATAAAAATTGTATATAGTCCACGTCTTTATAAACGTTTAAAAAAAAAAAATATATTTAATGCTTAGGCAATAGCGTTGACAATAACTTCAACATACGTTGTCTATGACCAAAAATGTAAGAAGAAATGGACTTTTAAAATTAGCTTTGCTTGAGAAAATAAAAATATAAAGTTAGTGTTTTTTTCTTTTGATTTAGTCATGGTTTAGCATCAAACACAATGTGATTTTCGGCAACCGAGATCTGACAGCAACCGCACATTTTTCTGCTTGGGCGAGCGCTTCGCGAACAGCTTATGCCGAGTTCACGCAGCACGATTTTAGCCCGATTTTGGCCCGATTTTTCACTCGCCGACAGGTTTTGCGAAATCGCCGACAAATGCTGACAAATCGCCGAGGCAAATCAGTGCTTGTTCACGCAAGTGACAATCTTTATGAGGCATTGTATGATGTGAATTATCAAAGACGCGATCTGAGGGAATCGCCGACAGGTTGCCGATGCCCGTGAAATATTTGGCATGCTAAATATCTGGAGCTGTCGGCGATTCACAATCACGCTATGTGAAATGAGTTCTGACTGAATAACACATGAGCGATGGCCTACAGCCAATGAGAGACCAAGATACAGGGCAGCGGGAAGTTTGGGGAGGAGTTATATAAAACGTAATTTGCGGACCAGTGTTGCCGCCGATTTCGGGCATTTGTCGGCAATTTCGCGAAACCTGTTGGCGAGTGAAAAATCGGGCTAAAATCGTGCAGTGTGAACTCGGCATAAGGGGGTTTCACGTCGTGCCTAACAACGCCCCTTAGCTGTTATAAATTCACTGTAAACCACAGCTTCACAGGGCTTATTGCTTTTATAAAACGGTTATTCCATATATGTAACAAGGTTTTACAAAATAAAACAAAGCAAATAAAATATAATGATATTAATAAAAACATTATTCTTCCGCCAAACAATGTAGTTCCTCAGAAACGGCTGTGGTTGCAACAAAGTGCTTGCCGAACAACACAGACATAAACAAAGGTGTATGTTTGTAGAGTAATTTACAACAGCTTCGAACTCAGCTCAACCAATCAGAATCAAGGACCAGAACGATTCGTTTTATAATGAGGCGTTTATACAGCAATCTGTTGTGTCAAGTCAAAGAGTGTTATTACGGCATTTATTGTTTGAATTTCCTTATCAAAAGTAACAATATTAAAAACTAGAAGTTTCCAAAGAAAGTTCCACTCATGCAGTGCTTAAAACAATGCTGTATTTGTTTGGTACACATGTGTACCGAACCGAAAATGTTCAGTACAAATATATGTGTACCGTTACAACCCTAATAGATAGATAATTATTGTGACTAACTGCCTATAAACTTTGTTGAAAAGTGGTTTGGTTTAGAGTAAAGAGGCCTGAATTACTACCAAAATGAAGCTGTAAGTTTGAGGAGAAAATAGGCCCACTCAGTACAGTCTTGCAGGAACAAAGTATTTTGTATTTGTGTTCGCAATAAATTTCTTTTGTGTTTCTTTGGAAACCCTCTTCAGCTAGAGAATGTCATTTTGAATATCATCACATTGTTAGTAAATAGCTGGTGCTCGTCACATAAAGTGGCCTGTTGATCAGTCAGCTGAAGTCTGGACACAAGCATCTACTCACTCCATGCAAATTTACAAGATAAGGGCCCTGAAGTGTTACTGTTAGCTCAAGATCAAACAATGACGGATTCAGGAACGTGAACTGGCATATTATGGACCCCCTTGTTGTGACCGCTCTGGCAATTTCTTTTGGACATGTTCTGTGTTTGAATTACACTAGACTGATATGGAGTTGCTGGGTTATTTCGATTGTAGGGACCGGAATTTGTAACAGAATCAGATATGCTACTGAATCTAGATGGATATGAGAATTGAATCGATTTGGTGTTGCAAACACAAACGTAAATCTCTTCTACAAGCTCAGTGTTGGTGAAGCACGTCCTCTTGTGGTCAACAAGGCTAGTGTATCACGAATGTTGAAAATGTCTTTGGATATTCATAGACATATAGTACTTGAACAAACACCTAGTTAATAGTGCACAATAAGACAACCGACACAAAATTATCACAACTGGTTTACTGATCCTCTGCAAAGGGGAGCTTCTAGAATTCATGAACCAAAACTCCACTTTTCACCAGTGTTATCGCTTTTCCATTTTAACTTTTTTTTTCACCTCAAGTTTAGGTTTTTTGCTTTTTATATATAAAAGTTAGCGTGTCTGAATCCTTTGCATATTTACCATTTACAATATACAAGTAAAACGTCCCTTCAGTAATCTGATGAAATAAACACCATTGAAATCAATGTTCAGTCATGGCAGAAACCTCAGTGGTTCTGAAACACATTCAACAAATGTCATGCTGATTAAATGCGCGCACACACACACATACAGTACACACACGTTTAACACCTGACATATTAAACTTGCCTCAACTAAAAGAAAACACAGACCTTTTCTTTAGAACGACTCATGCACTTTTAACTGTATGTGCTTCCTCTGCAATACATCAAATATTATATATCCTTCAAATATCTTCATTGGGAAGTCAACATCACACATTGTTACAGTATTTATGTCAGTGCATACTGTGGCAGGCGAAGCCATTATGAGTCTGTCCAAAAAAACAAAACAAAAAAACAATCAGGCACTATAAATTCCTGTTGCACCCTTGATATCTTTAAAGCTTACAATGCATACTTCACTTGCTTTACCTACGACACACATCAGTCAGTAGGTTCCAAAACCACAGCAGACGTACAGTATATATTTTCAGTTGAACCTGACCAAAGAAATTGTAGTTGTGCAATTTTCCCATCAAGTCTTCGATACTGCAATTCCACACGCCATGTACATCCACACATACAATTATAAATAATGTTGGTCTCAACAAAAGGACATCAAATGATGACTTGACATGAACACGATTGTGTTTCAAGTTCAAACCTGCTGCAATTCCCCATGCAGCACTTTCACAGCCCCGTGGTCTCGGTTTCTGAAGTATTTCAGTCAGTCGACTTTTGAGGATGTAAAGAGCAGAGTTTGTGCTAATGTGCAAATTATCACCAATTCATGTCAACAGCGCCCTCTATTGAGAGTCATATCATTGAACTCTGTTATTACACTGTAATTACTATTATATTACGCATTAATAAGCCATTTTAGACACTTAACATCAAACTGCAGTTATTTAATTGGATGGACTAGATGGAAAAGGCTTATGTGAAGGTATTTGTACTTATAAAAGCATGTTTTACAGATTTTCGGCACACTAGGGGCAGATTTAAAGCACTACTCAATGGCCATTAAAAAGTAAATTCTGACCTAAAAATCAATAATAAATGACAAAACTTCATTGTTCACCAATGTCTGGGCTACCATTAGCATTAAGGTGCTATCAGTGCTCTTGCTAGCATCATGAAATTAATCAATTTTGAAATGTCACATCGGAAGACCAGATTTACAACAGTAACAAAAAAAAAGACGTTTTCTTGCTTATCCTCGAGTAGTTTTTAAATTCAAAAAGTGCTTAAATTAAAAGTCATTTTGGCGCATTAATTTTCCGCTCTGATCATATGCTACATTTTCTCGCAGCTAGCAAGTGCAAATTGTCCACTTTTTTTTTTACACACAATGACAAAAGCTTGGAATATACCAAGACGTGACAATGCTGAATGAATTGTACTCTATATATGTTGGTCAGATGGACAGAGAAATAGACAAAAATAGGTTGTTATGGCAACTGTTATAACAAAATAATCTATACAAATATCATCTTAACAGGCACTCGAGTTGTCGCAGGGATGATATACTGTATCAATGCAAATTTAAATAAAGTCAAAAGGGATGACAGAGAGGCAACATTCACTTTTCATTGAGGCTAGTTTTTCTGGGTGGCCCTGGGCCCTTCATAGCCATACTAGCCCCAACCATAGCTGGGTAACTGCGGTTTCTTCTCATCCCTGAGTTCAGCACTGGCAGTCCCCTGATAGGGGAAGTTACAACAGCGTGGGCCCCGAATGGCGGTCCCGGCCTTCCGATCCCTGGGGTCAAAGTTCTGGGAGCCAGGCTAAACTTCTTCACCTTGTCCACCAGTCTCAAGTTCTGCACGCTGACTTCAGTCTGACACTGCGTATCTGTCCGAGCCCTTTCGTCCGCCTCCCGCACTTCCTTCAGAATTGAGCTGGCTGGCCGTGAAGCCAGGAAGGTTTCGTAGGGGGGGTCCGAGGGGCTGTAGTCTACAGGAAGCACAAGACTAGTGGGTTTGGACTTGCTGGGGGAGTTTGGAGGGGTGGAGGGGAGCGTGTCCGGACCGGGATGAGTGGGGGTGGCATTGGGTGATGAACAGGGGTATGGTGGAGGGGCTCGGTCCGCCCGGTCCCAACTGAGAGGGTTATAGACAGCAGCAGATATACCTCTCTCCTGTAGGAGGCGCACTAGTCCCAGAGAGGTACTGGTGGTCTTGGTTGAGTCGCGGAGGTTGGTGAAACTCTCCGCCAGGCTGAGGCGACGAGGCGTGCAGGGGGTGGACACAGGGGTTGAGCACAGACTGCTGCTGGACATCACACAGGAAGCTAGTGATGGACCTGACAAGAGACTGAAAAAGTGAAGCTTTATTAGTTTGAGTTATGTAGTTATATAAGCCAAACCGTGCATTGATAACTCTGTGAACGTAATGAAACAAACTGAAATATTCCAATAGTGTTGTATGTCAATCAATCCAGTCAATAAAGTCAATCCAAATGCAGGACATTTTGTTCACTTATGAGGTTAGTGTGTTTGCAGTTTGATTGGGATAAATCTGTTTTTTATTGTGCAGGTTTGATTTGAATTTCTATACAATATATAGTGGCTGCAAAAAAAAAAAAAAAACATTTTTGAATACTATATGAATTAGGCACAATATGTTGCTGCATAATATGGGAAACAAATCTAATTGTGATTTTTCTGATAAAAACTGCAATTGCAATTTAAAATGTGATAAAATGGTTTAAAAAAGTTTTACTGCACTTGTTTGTAGGGCAAACTTTTGTGATTATAAAATAATATTGCTATGATTAAAAAAATAAAACTTACTACTAATAATTATACTATTACTACTACTAATAATAATTCCATTTTACATTACACCTGTAAAATTACAATACTAATAGCAGCATTTACTGTGATTTGAGCTGCTCTTAGAATAATAAGACGCTCGTGTAAGATTGCATATATGTAATATATTTAAGTTCTCCCACTTAAAAAGATGAGAGAGGCCTGTAATTTTCATCATAGGTATACCTCAACTATGAGAGACACAATGAGAAAAAAAAATCCAGAAAATCACATTGTAGGATTTTTAAAGAATTAATTGGTAAATTCCTCGGTAAAATAAGTATTTGGTCACCTACAAACAAGCAAGATTTCTGGCTCTCACAGACCTGTAACTTCTTCTTTAAGAGGCTCCTCTGTCCTCCACTCGTTACCTGTATTAATGGCATCTGTTTGAACTCATTATCAGTATAAAAGACACCTGTCCAAAACCTCAAACAGTCACACTCCAAACCCCACCATGGCCAAGACCAAAGAGCTCTCAAAGGACACCAGAAACAAAATTGTAGACCTGCACCAGGCTGGCAAGACTGAATCTGCAATAGGTAAGCAGCTTGGTGTGAAGAAATCAACTGTGGGAGCAATTATTAGAAAATGGAAGACATACAAGACCACTGATAATCTCCCTCGATCTGGGGCTCCACACAAGATCTCACCCCGTGGGGTCAAAATGATCACAAGAACTGTGAGCAAAAATCCCACAACCACACGGGGGGACCTAGTGAATGACCTGCAGAGAGCTGGGACCAAAGTAACAAAGGCTACCATCAGTAACACACTGCGCCGCCAGGGACTCAAATCCTGCAGTGCCAGACGTGTCCCCCTGCTTAAGCCAGTACATGTCCAGGCCCGTCTGAAGTTTGCTAGAGAGCATTTGGATGATCCAGAAGAGGATTGGGAGAATGTCATATGGTCAGATGAAACCAAAATAGAACTTTTTGGTAAAAACTCAACTTGTCATGTTTGGAGGAGAAAGAATGCTGAGTTGCATCCAAAGAACACCATACCTACTGTGAAGCATGGGGGTGGAAACATCATGCTTTGGGGCTGTTTTTCTGCAAAGGGACCAGGACGACTGATCCATGTAAACGAAAGAATGAATGGGGCCATGTATCATGAGATTTTGAGTGAAAACCTCCTTCCATCAGCAAGGGCACTGAAGATGAAACGTGGCTGGGTCTTTCAGCATGACAATGATCCAAAACACACCGCCCGGGCAACGAAGGAGTGGCTTCGTAAGAAGCATTTCAAGGTCCTGGAGTGGCCTAGCCAGTCTCCAGATCTCAACCCCATAGAAAATCTTTGGAGGGAGTTAAAAATCCGTGTTGCCCGCGACAGCCCCAAAACATTACTGCTCTAGAGGAGATCTGCATGGAGGAATGGGCCAAAATACCAGCAACAGTGTGTGAAAACCTTGTGAAGACTTACAGAAAACATTTGACCTCTGTCATTGCCAACAAAGGGTATATAACAAAGTATTGAGATGAAATTTTGTTATTGACCAAATACTTATTTTCCACCATAATTTGCAAATAAATTCTTTAAAAATCCTACAATGTGATTTTCTGGAATTTTTTTTCTCATTTTGTCCCTCATAGTTGAG